GGACTAGGGAGGAAGAGGAGGGGAAGGGGGGATATTAAGGATGGTAGGCACGCTAGAGACGCGCGTGGAAATAGTGAAAGGGGGGGTTGAATGCAAGCCGCCGCCTGAGCTTTGCGTCTCACGCCACGCGTTCTTCGCAAACCGTGCCTCGTGCTTTTGTTCATGCCTGACGGTTAGTAGTTAAACGTTGACGTAGGATAATAATAACAGGCGGCTACTGTTAGCAGCAGTACACATTCCGACTTGTAGGACTGGAGTGGAAGTAGCTGCCACTCCTATAAACAGAAAGAGATGATTTCCACCACACCACCACGTTGCGCCCACTTCCCCCCACACGTGGCGCCCACTCTTCCCCCCCCCCCCCCCCCTCCCCTCTCTTCCCCCTTCTACCCCCTCTTTTCGAACCAGGCTAGCCCTATGAAACAGGTAGGTTGGCGCGAGGAGATGAACGATTACAGAGTACAGAGGAGCCTTGTTCGTATCTAGCCAGGAGGGGAAATACAGTATGTGCAGGGAAATGGAAGTAGCCTTGGGTGTGTTCCGGTGGAGGGGTGAACGAAATCTTCTTAGGTCTGAAAGGAGCTCAACAGGAGGGAACAATGTCCGAAATATTTGATGGGAGCTCGGCTCCTGTATGTTTATAATTTGCGATTAGATTTTTTTACTCGTGTATTGGCGAGAGGAGAGGCAAAAGGTGAGACTGCTCGTGTGCGATGTATATGATGATGATGTCTGTGTGAGTGAGTGGAGTGGAGGCGAAAAGGTATATGTAGCAGACAGCGAGAGAGAGGTCGGATCGTTTTGTGCGAAGAGTCGGTCACTCAGATGCAGCAAATGGATGGATTTGTGAACGTGCTTGCATGCGTGTCAGCCCTTTGCGCCATGGCCGCTATAAGTCTCTGTATCAATCCATAGGCAACAAGTGGATGCGCGCGGGTGCGTCTTGCATTTGGCCGTCTACCACTTTGCGTGTGTCTGCGTCTGTAGAACTCTGTGTGTGTGTGTGTGTGTGTGTGTGTGTGTGTGAGAGAGAGAGAGAGAGAGAGCGGAAACGTCAGGGAAGCGAGAGAGAGAGAGAGAGAGAGAGAGAGAGAGAGAGAGCGGAAACGTCAGGGAAGCGAGAGA